TATTTTAAATATTAAATGTTAATTATAGTAATAATATTTTAATATTTAATAAAATATTTTATTGTGATTAGACGGTTAAAATAAACAACAAACAAAAACAATCACTGATTCTCATTTGGGAGACACTGACTTCGAATCACGTCTGGGAACCGGATGTCCTGACTCAGTTTCTGTTTCTTGATTTTCTTCGGACATTTTTGCACGGAGTGCCTTGAAATAGGCCACAACCGCTTAATTCCAAACTCTCGTTGGACGTTACATGTTCTTCGGAGTTGAAACAACGTAGTTAAATAACGCAAAGAATCAGGTGGTCAAAGACGTGTGTACTGCTGGAAACCTAATGCTTTGATTTGACGTTCTCTGTGTGTATGTGTGGGGGGGTTTCCTCAGAGAGTAGGGGTATTTTGAAACAGTTTGTGACACTGCTGATCTTGTCAACAATTCAGCAGGGATCGATCCGACGGACGGATTTCGCATTTTTGCCAGTGGTGACTCTGACACGGTAATTCCATTAGCGATCTTCAACTTTTCAATTTGCATTGTCCTAGCATTCTCTTGTTTCAAGTTAAATTTCCCCACTGAGGTTTTCAAACCAGGACTAGTGAGTCACAAAGGCCCGGTTCCACCGTGACTCAGAGACTAGGGCATTGGTTTCCAACTTACCGGACCTGAGTTCTATTTCCGATTGGCCTGTAAGGGATGTTTCTTGCTGAATGAACAGTTTCTTTGACACAAATTTAAGTATTATTACTTTTCACCTGTTAGTCGCCTCGTTGGTGAAAATTGTGAGCACTTCGTTAAGTTCCGTGCTTGTACTGGATACTTCGACGACCCGTTCTTCAAGTGCCTGAGCACTGCGGGTCCCAACTTTTCGTCGGCTTTGATCTATTGACAGTTGGTAGGACTCCTTGGTTGAGGGATCGGCCCGTCGCAAGGCCTCTACCTGTACACAGGACAGCACGACACAGAAAAACGCGGACAAATATCCATGGCTTGAGTTGGATTCGAACCCACGGTCCAGCGCCTCAGACCGCGCGGCCACTGTGACCCCGCTTGTACTGGGGTAATATCAATACCAGTTGTCGACCTGGACACTGATCTGACAAAAGTTTTTCTAGACGTATGTTGGTCTCTATGTTAATTGTTCTTTTTTATAGTCGGATTTTAACAAGAATTAGATTATTTCGATGGATTTTAGTAAAAATCCAGCTGTAAAATTTTATTAAAATTGATTCAGCCGTTATGGAGTTGTTTCTTGAGGACAGACAGATGGACGCTCGGCAGATATGCGAAAGGTCATGAAGAGGCTTGTCTTGCAAGAAAGACGCCGCAAGCTTACGTTGCATATGATATAGATTTTTATTAACATT